TGTGTACGGCGCGTAAGTTTTTGCAGGGGTTCCAATTAGTGGCCGAGTACTCGCTTGGGTCCAGCCTCGTTTCGTATTGCCTATCGTTTGCGAAGGCTACTCGAAAATGACCCGTATCGCTGCGGGCATAAGGCGCACGATGGCCCTGATTAAGGCAATGCATTATACTTTCCGCCGTCGCCCCGTGCATTATTTTTACGATGGAAAGCAAAGTGTTAAATGTACTCGTTCGGCTAACGGAGCTCAGAGGGTACAGTTTCGAGATGAGTGAATTTCAAGCACAAGTTACTGCGAAAATGCATTACACCGTTTAATCGATTAAATTGGGATCTCTGATAGAATGGAATCCAGTTCATAATATGTTTACGGTGAGAGTTCATGAATGATAGCTTAGCTTTAGCTTCTCACATATGGAAGTGGAAGCAATTGAAAGTATTTAATCTAACGTTGTATTTTAGATAGTCAAAGTTAAGCCGAGAAGAGCGAATGCCGAAGACGTGGGTTCGATTACCACAGCGGCGACATCTTTTCGTACTTTTTCTATATGTTTTAATAGTCAAAGTTAGTTTAACTTTGAGAACACGCAGTGACTGTACTTTACTGTAACAGCAGTGTTGAAATAGGACATTGGTTCATTTCGTTCGTTTTAACTTATGAAACATGTAAATTCTCCCGACATACGCATATACGACTATTTGCGATTGAAAGTGACATAGTACTGATATCTCAATAGAGATTTTTAAGCATAAAAATATTCACGAATTCAACGACGACGGACGAGATCACATAACAGCTATTGAAGTTACAATATACAATAAATGATATGAGTCTTTATGTTTAGATTATGTATTTGTGCCATTTGCTGTTGAAACTTTAGGTCCGGGGTCCCCGCACATCAATTTTTTTTAAAGTTTATGTCCTAGTCTTAACGCCGCGACTGGTGACAAGAGAGCTGATTCTTTTCTCGCTCAAAGGTTAAGCATAACTATTCAGCGAGGAAATGCAGCTAGCGTTCTTGGCACCATGCCGCGTGGATTAGGTTTATTAGATAATATGTAATTTTAGATAGATTTAATCTTGTAAATATTAGATCAATAAAGATTGTAAATATTTCAAAAAAAAAATATAAATGATAACTTAGGACTGGTCCTGTGAGGAAATGACGAATAAGGTGGGTATATAAAAATTCTATTTCTCGGTGGTCATTAATAGTGCGATTTGAGTCTGTGCAGGTTACTTCTCTATATGCAGTGGATCGCACTAGTGCTTCCACTACATCAACATCACAGCCATCTTCTCGTTCCTGTTTTCTGTCGCGGTAACATGGGACTTCTCAGCGTTGCTATCTTTTTTTTTTATGTGAAAAGTTACCAAACGAGCAGATGGTAAGCGAATACCGCCATCGCTCATGGACATCTGCTACACCTGAGGGTTACAGATGTGTTGACAACCTTTTGAAAATTGGGCTCCGGCTACGTCACCAGACGAAACGCGAAAGTATTTGTCATACTTCCACTTTACGCGTGTCTTCTGTGAGGTCGTGGTACTTACCCCGACGGGCCTGCCCATTCGTGCAACAGCCGAGGCTGCTGCGTGGCCCCACCACCGTAATCTTTTCTGGCTTAAGCCATTTATTCATCATCACCATCATTTCCCCCGTTTAGTCAACTGTTGAACACGGGCCTCCCTCACAGACTGCCATGAACGAAGATCCCGAGCTGTTTCCTCACTTTATCTTTATTCTTTATTGAATGATATGCTGCGAGCACTTATAAAAGCTATGTAATAATGTTTTCCGTTACTATGAAAAGGTTCTACTGCTGATATAAGTAGTTGCGTTCTAAATTCTCACTTCATTTTCGATAATAAGCTCCATATATCAGGTAAAAAAATATAACCGATAGCAATGACAAGTTGATTGGTGTTGCCAAGTTGTCGACTGTCGCCTTTGATTTATAACGGGTAAATTGCCCGTAACACATGCGCGTTGCTTTTATCTATATATATATAATATATATATTATATTAGCACACTAGACGCACCGATTAATTCCTCCGAACGTTTTTTTTTATTTGTATATATTAATTTCAATAAATTGTTCGTATCGACCTTGGGATTGAATGAGGAAATCTCAATGTCCTTGCAATCAGTTAACATTAATCGTGCAAATTTTGCTTTCATTGCTTCTCGTCATATGAATTATTTGTTTCTCACGTATACAAGCAATTGCGTTGATTAAGAAACCCGATATCGCCATTAAAAACCTTTCATAATCTCAACATTTTTACGGAGAAAATACTACATGATCATCATCATTTCAGCCTATTTGAGTCCACTGTAGGACATAGGCCTCCATAGACTGCAACGAAACACGATCTCCCACATAGACTGTTACGAAGCACAATCCTGAGCCACCTGCATCCATCGACTTCCCGCAAATTTGCACAGGTCGTCATTCCATCTAGTGGGGGTCTTCTACACTGCGATGGCCAGTACGAGGTTTCCACTCAAGAACCTTTCTTCCCCATCGGTTGTCAGTTCTACGAGCTGTATATATATATGGCCATATATATATGATTATGCGAACAAACAGTTTCTCTCCACCTTACTTACATAATTAACGTCAAATCAATGAATTCTTACGAAGCTCTACTGTTTTATGAATTTTTACTACGAGCTACTTTTCATTTCGAAGGCATATCTACATATATACAGCGGGTCATGGGATAATTTTACCGAGAAGGGATCTATGACTTTTATTAATTTTCAGCTACCGTTTCCCTAACAGCGTAAGATCGCAGAGGTATTTCACAAAACAAAAGTGTTGTCCCTCCATTGGAAATATTAGTAGTAGTGTTGTAGGAGTCTCGTTAATACAAGGTAGAATTTAGTGATGTAAAAATAAATTAAACGTATGCTTTAAGATTTATTTCCAAATATACAGTCTGTCCTTTACGATTATGGAATCGTTATAAACACTCTAATTAACCAATTTCTAATTTAGGTGTAGGTCTAGATTTATATAAATTAATCGTAATAAAAAATCTATCATTTAATAGTTACACTCACCTTTACTCTCCTTACGTATACAATGAATTAAATAATATATTTACATAAAATTACTAATTGACTAAATTATAGCGAAAAAAAAAACTAATTAAATATATTTGTACAAAATAATATTTTGACTAAAGATCCGATAATAGTTTTTGTGTTTAAGCGAATACGAAGCATTGTGAATGAACCAATTTGACGTAAATTTTTCGCGTTAACATATTGTATTCCTTTTAGTGTTATAGAGTTCTATTTTATCGCTTGTAAAATGTTTGAATGGCCAACAGCCCAATAAAATATTCGAAATATCATTACTTAGAACAAACATTCAATAATTGCATTTAGTTTTATAAGAGTATCATAACTAATGATTATATAAAATGAATGTATCGAATTTGAGTAAAGATTTTGCTATTGTAATTTAACGCGATGTAAATTGAATCATTAAAAGAAAATACAAACTTGCCGTTAATGACGGGTTTGCAGGCGTTTCATTACCAGCTGTAAAACACAACGCAATTAAGGTGCACTATAAAAAAGGAAATTTGTCTGTGTTGAAAATAAATTACGAAAGTCGTAAAAATTAAAAGCAATTTGCTATACCGTGTTATTACTTGTGCAATTTACAATTTGCATCAAAGACGCGTATTTAAAATATTTTGTGCGAGTAATACTACTACTTTTAGACAAATGACTTATTTACATTTATCATTCACATTCATTTACGATTCGTGCGGTGGACACGAACTGATACTAAAATAATCTGTTCTTCAATATTTGTCTGAATTTATTAGAATTGACGTATCGCTTTGTTTAATTTGATTTTTAACTACTTAATGAATATTTTGCAGTATGCTCAATCATAAATTTTCAGCGTGGAAACATTACGAAATCATTATTAGCCAACCTTAGACGCCTCATTTAAAATTCAGACGCACGATTTAAATTTGATGATAGCAGTACCTACTTAATTTATAAAATATCAAAGATATCACAAATCAATATAATGGTTTTCGGTTCTAGTATTTCACAATACACAGGAATTATATTTATAACGTGTTAACTATTTGGCTGCGTTGGAAAAGCATCGCGGGCAAGGAATATTACTCTTTTATGTTATCGACACCTAGAAAATTTTATTGTAGTTGAAAACAGACTAAAGTAAATGCAGTAGTAACACTTGTCTTTTTGGAATGCAATAGTTTGTGGAATACTTTCATAAAAAAACGTTTAGATCAGATCAGGTATTAAAAGAGTATCCTATTAATTTTCAATTATTTTACTGGTAGAGTAATATAGTTTTTTAATATCTCCATTTGCACTTCCTTTGGATTCCGTCATCCAAATATGATATAAATTTTTAAGAATCCCGTATATTCTGTACACCGTATTGTTTGTACAGTGTATCTATATTTACGAAAATTCACTTTTCACTTTTACGTAATACTACATGACAATTAAAGTAATCAATGCTGAATTGCTTATAACATTTCAAATGTGGTTTGGTTATTTTTATTTATTTTGACGAAATAGGTTTTTTTTTTACAGAAATTCTTAAACTTATAATGCGCCATACTATTATAAATAATTTTGTATATGTGAGTCATACAATACATATTATATAATAAATTAAATGATACAATTTAACAGTAAATTCAAATTATTGTTTAATATAACATTTTTGATGTCCTAAAACTATATTAATATTTAACATACATAACTTACTTTTACAATTGAACTTATCACCATCTTTCACTTATACAAATTAATGCTAGAATAAATAATTTTTGCCTGTTCACTGAGAATTATAATGACAAAAATACAATAATACTTCACTGAAACTATTAATACGCTGTCTTTTTATACATATGTCAAATCATGTTCAATGTTGACAGTTACTTCTAAGATGGCGGACGCGCACGCGTTCCCGCGCTTTCCAGACGTCAATGCGGTTGAAGGGAATTGAGGATGTTCATGTTGATTGCGTGTTGGTGGGTCGGTGGCCCTCCAAGGAAGCTCAGTTGTGGCCTGGTCGCGGCGGCCATTGCCGCGAACAATGGCGGGGCACCCCCCCCACCGAAGAGCGCGAAAGATGGCGGGAGCAGCGGTCGGGCTGACAGCCGAAGCTTCTCTATTTCGGCCTCTTGCAGGCGTTTCGCTTTCGCTCGTCTGTTTTGGAACCAAATTTTCACCTGGAAATAATTGATTATTTGAGATACTGTAAAATCTACAAGTATTTGCATGTGTAACGTTTCTTATATTAGTCATGATCATTTTTTCCTGCTATACAGGATGTTTCGCTTAGTAATCCCTAAATGTTTCCATCAAAAAGCACAAGTGTTCATTTTAGATTTATACACTAAGTACAATACTATTTGCTATTATTGATAGAAAGTCTTAATAGATTTTTCCTTAATAATTTCATATAATTTTTGCAGTTTAGTGTGACTTATAAATAATCCGATTGACAAAGACGCTAAAGGGCGTTACAGTTGGATTAGCAATAAATTGGATTACGGTCACACTGCACTCTCTTTTAAAGAGATAGCTTCAAGAAGAAGAAATAAGCGGCGATATAAATGCCAGCAGATACAGAATACACAGGCTGTGTAGAGTGAGTTATGTCTTAAGGATAGTCTTTGAGAGAACACACCTGTGTCTCAGTGAGTCGCAGCGAGGAGGAGAATTCGGCCCTCTCGGCGATGCTCAGGTACTGCTTGTCCCGGAACTTCTTCTCCAGGGCCAGCAGCTGCTGGGTTGTGAAGGGGGTGCGCGGCTTGCGGTTGGGCTTGTGCTTGCGGAGTTGGCACCGCACCACCGGCGGCCCGCTCGGCGCCCCCGCTGGAAGAACACGGGAGGAAGGCCTTGGGTTAATAGACTGTTGTTATTTTTAATGTAGTCGCACTCTTTTTAACCGACTTCAAATGAAAGAATGTCTATCTGTTATTGTGGCAATATTTTTACGTTTATTCTTGCGTCACACTGACAGTTATTATAACTCGCCAGTTAAAAACTTTGTCAATGCAAACCTTTTATAAATTTTGAATATAGAACTCTTTGGTAACCTAATGTGAAATATTGCAGTCATTTGTTTTTGTGAATTGGCGGCTCTTCCAACATCTGAAAATGTATTTAACGCGAGAATATCTTCGGTCCATGATATATTACGACTTTCGTTGTGGAATTATTCAATAAAAAAGCTACGATATACTTCGATTGGCATTTAATAATGAAGCAGGATCCTCCTTCATCACGACAACGCTTGAGCGCATTCCGCGAAATGATCAATTGAATATTTGACCATAGCAAGTGTCGCGATGATTGACCCCCAGTAGCAAGCATGGGGGCGTCTGCTGCTGCACATGGGGCTCGTGAAGGGTGCTGTGCTAGTTGCACCGGCACAGCACCATTTAGCCGGACTGTATGGCCTAGCACCCGTTAAGAGGCCCGGCACGACTATGGTCTAAGAAGGCCATAGTTGTGTCTTCGTGTTCGCGTGTGATGTCCCCGGTTGATGCGGCAGAGACAGGTGCAACGTGGGTTTTGTAGTGGGTACCCTTCCGCATCCAGTGAATCCTCAAAGGATTTTTCCCTCGTAAAAAAAAGGAGTCGTGACATATACCCCTGCGATTTTCATTTATCCCAAACTTCGACGTGTTCGCTTTACGAGCCATGAAGTGAGTGTGATCGAAAATGCCGTAGAAGAGACTTCTATGGAAGATTGGGCCCACTGCCTTTTTCAGTAGTTCCATCGAATGCAAAGATGTATAGAGAGGAACAGAGACTACTTCGAATAATAATAAAAATGTTGGCAAGTTTCTACATGGAACCGTTTTATGACTATCTAGGAACTTCCAATGTGACCCACGTATGAAAGATTTTTTTTTCATGTAAATGTAAAGTGTGTATTTTACAACATGTTCAATGTGTAAAATACAAAAGTTACTCATATAAATAAAAATAACAGGAAACCGTTAGGTTTAATGAAATGTAATTAAAAGATATTGGTGAGGTCAGTTTATGAATGGCAAAATTTTATCTGATAGTGAAAAACAAACGTTGCACGCGTCTTATCTCAAATTAGACGCCGCAGCTAATGAGAAATAATAACTGTTGCGTTCAGTGTTAGCCGGTTCCTGTCTAGTACTTAAACTATTTCCATCCAATGATTCGCTGCGGTTACGGCGAGAAACGTGATTAGCATCACATGTTGCGATAGATATACAGTAAAATCCGTTTATTATGACATCGAAAGGAATTGAAAAACACGTCATAATAAGCGGACGTCATACAAACCGTTTTGTGAAAAAAATAAAAAAAAATGTGTGCGTGTACTAGCGTGTACACTCGTAAGAAATGAAATTTTTTATGACGTTATTTTTCAAAAAATAATTTACTATATGCAACTTTACAGAAATTGGTTAAATAAAGTTAAATTAGATAAAGTTTAATAAAAGGCTTTTATTATCATAGACATAAATACAAATTCTACAATTATTTCATTTTAGCTTTGTATAATATTTAGTTTCTTATTTGTAATACATAGGTGGCGTTAGTAGTAAATTAAAAAACACACTATGGTTTGACCGTTGTAATTAGTATGAGGGTCCGCAAAAATTGTTGATTAAAAAACTTACAACGTGAACCTTGTTTATTTCAATTAACCTCACGGACCCAAAATACAACCGCTTTGAATTTGTACATGGTCCTTCGTTGCCGAATAGTCAGCGAGTGAGTAGAAGGCAGACATTCGACTGGCGCGCGAGTGTTGTGAGTGAAGTTTTTTTGGAAAACCGAACTTGCGGACGTTGGATCGACGTCGCAACCGCAAGTTCCAGGAGCCGATCGAGGCTTCGAAGAGCATCATCGGTCAGCTTCAGATTGTGTCTTCGGTGGAAGGCGCAGTCAGGTCACGGTAGGCGGTGCCTGCCTTTGGAGAAGAGGAAGTCTCTACAGTGTCGTGCTCTGAAGTACTAGACCTAGCACTGTCATTACTACAAATATTATTATTGAATTTCATTAATTGTAATAGAATTATTACTATCATTGATGTCGTTATTATATATTTGTGTTATTAATGGCTTATGGTAACTGAAATACGAAATATATTGTTTACATTTTAGAATTAGAATTAAAATAAACCCTTTGATTTTGCTGATCACTTTAATATAACATGTATATATATATATATATATTGTTATGAACAGACAAAGGAACTAACGCCATCTAGCGTCAACTATTAAAACCACTAAATAATAAAGACGACATAAAACCCCCTATTCAACACTAGATGGCGTTAGAGGAACATTTTAAGATAAGAAAAAGATGGCGCGTAACGCAAAAATGTTACACTAAATTTTTTTCCAACCCCGATAAAGAAGTTTCACTTCAAAAACCTTTTTTATTTAAATATGCACTTAAGTATTTTAATAGAGAAACATAGTATGTATATACATATTAAATCAATATAACAATTGCACGTAATGCGGTACATACATATTTTTAATGTAGGTAATCTGCAGTTTTTGACTGCTTTTGTTTTTTCATTTTATTGTAAAAACAGTCCCTAATACTATTGTGTATAGAAGACATCGCCATGGTCAAATTATCATTTTCAATATTGCTATGAACAAATCGAGATCTAATCGATCGAATAGTTTCTGCAGCGAGAGATGAGTTTGGTTCTCCATTTTCTAATCTCCTCAATCGTAAATGCTTTACGGTAGTTAAATGAAGTTTTTTTCACAGTACATACATACAATAAAAAACACAAACGACAAACGAAAAACAATGCGTGACCTTTTAGTATCAATTAATCATTGAGATTCAAAACAAAAACGAGCCACGTGCCGAACTTCGTCGGGAATCAACGAACATTAGCGAAGGTGTAAAGAACTATGTCGGTCATTATAACCGGACATAATTTATTAAAAATGGGTCATAATAAGCGTCATGTCACTGTAAGAGAAGTCATTATATCCAACTTTTTATAAAGAATTTTATATGTAAACCAAACTTCGTAGTGTAATTACGTCATATTAAACGGTTGGCCAATATAGGCGGAGTCATAATAAACGGATTATACTGTACTTCGAAAAACGACAAAACTTTCATTGTTTCGGATTCGAACGGAATGAAGTTCAATGGATCGATTATCAGTTACTGGCCTATCGACTTAAGCACCAGATCAGAGTTTTCTGACCCTTAGATAATTGTTTTGTACCTGCTAAAGGCTAATTAATGCAGATGTTGCTTCGTCAAACGACGAACATCGATGCGGTGATATGATTTGAAATTAATCTGAGTAGGATATGAACGAAACTAAATGTTAACTAATGTTATTAAATTGATAGCGAGACATGTTTAAGTTTTTATTTGAGAAAGTGACAAACGAGCTGGCACTTCACCTGATGTTAAGTGATGACCACCGCCCGTGGATCTTTGCAGCATGAGTTCCAACCTTTTAATAAAGTGGGCCCTGGATACCTCACTCACCAGACGAATCGCAGAAGTGTAACACTTCTACTCCACGCCGGTTTTCTGTGAGGTCGTGATACCAACAGAAAACACTGTTGCGTGGCTCTACCACAGTTTACTATAACAATTTAAATTTCGCCTTTCTCTATGGTCAAAACGGCATATAACCCTGACAAATAATGCGAAACATGTAGATGAGTTGAAATTCATCGTAATGCATTAAGGATCTTTTGTCTGTGACCTTCTATCATAAAACAATTCAGTTAGTATTTCACTTAACAATAACAACCATTATCTAGTAATTTATTATTTTAACATCTTTTATTAAAGATTATAATGTAAGTAGTCTCGTCACACAATCGTACTGCATCATTACATACTTGAGTGTGACACAAAAAAGATAATACATTTCTAAATAGCGCTTAAGAACAAAATTTCCAATAAAATTGCGTTAAATAGACAAATAACAGTCTGTTTAAAGAAAAATATAAATATAACATCTATGTACATAACGAAGCACATTTTCTATTTTTATCTTATTCTGTCTAAAGCTAGCAACATCGTGATTTTACTTTTTCAATCTTGGAAACCTGCTTACTTTCCGTATAGTTATTATTTTTTTTATGTGAAAAGTTGTCAAACGAGCAGACGGTTCACCTGATGTTAAGTGAATACCGCCGCCCATAGACATCTGCTACACCCGAGGGTTTGCGGATGCGTTGACAACCTTTTGAAAATTGGGCTCCGGTGACCTCACTCACCAGACGAAACGCGAAAGTATTATACTTCCACTTTACGCCGGTCTTCTGTGAGGTCGTGGTACTTATCCGGACGAGCCTGCCCATTCGTGCAACAGCCGAGGCTGCTGCGTGGCCCTACCACCGTTAAAAAAAAGTTAAAGTTAATATTAGTTACTTTCAATTTCCGTTAAAAATGCACTTATAAAACTTAGTGGCATAGTAAAATATACTCAGCATATTGTACATAATATATTTTATTGACCAAAAATAAACGCCTACCTACGCCTAACAGATTCAAGGCGAAGTGTGACCCTGTTTGTTTAAATTTTCAAACAGGCTTAATTCGAAAGCGATGTCGTCTGCTCATTAATTTATTATCTGTCAACCGGATGTCGGACAATGGCCTACCATAACATTATATAGTCCAATGAGTCGTTGTTAAATATTCAAATGTGTTGATTGCTTCGGTTCGGTATCCATCGGCTAATGACACTGCGGGGCACGGGTTCAATTAATGGTGATCCTAACACCGGGTCCATGCCATATGCTAATATCATAATTGATAATATCCTTCAGAGCTCGGACACAATTGGTAATATCTTTTGCAACGCATTCGTACTTCGAACTATGCTTACATCGATTGCTAGGACAGTTTGTATTAAAAAAAAGTTAGGTAATTTGTTTGAGCAGGGAAAAAATGGAAAACTAGTGTCGTACTGGGTAATACCGGTTAGCTGATATTTGTTTGAATATTTTGTGTCGACATTTTGCTTTTTTCTGATGTGTCATTAATTGCGTTAGGATTTAAGGATATATCTTCATATATTTGGGCTCGTCATCAAAATGCAAGGGTATGGTTAGATGTAGAACGTGGTTGTATTTTTTATCTTCTGATACTACTATCTAATGTGGATAAAAAGAAAGTTTTCAACCGATTTCGAAAACGGAGGAGGTACTCAACTCGACTGTATTTTTTTTTATGTTTGTTACTTCAGAACTTTCGACTGACTGTACCGATTTTGAGGATTCTTTTTTTATTTGAAAGATGGTGCTGCCCATGTGGTCTCGTAATTTCATTGGTATTGGATCTTAGGCTCCGGAGGTACGTAGGTGACTCCTGAAAATTGATTATAAAATGAATACAGAGCGAGGCATTTGAAGACGGGTTTGTTTACGTTAATAAAAAAAATACTTGTGTTGTTCTATGATGGGAAATGAGAGACGAGAGATCAGAGATGGCTGAGAGGCTCAACCATTAGAGTAACTACTGTGTACACTCTGGCAAAATACCTAATAATATTATTAATCCATAATAATGTTATAAATGCAAAAGTAACTCTGTCTGTCTGTCTCGCTTTCACGCCAAAACTACTGAACCGATTTAAATGAAATTTGGTACACAAGGACATGGGCTTTTTTAATTGGAATGTTTTTTTAAAGAAAGATATTTAAGGGCTTACACGAGAGCGAAGCCGCTGACGAAAAGCTAGTAATAAATATTTCACGGAACATTAACAATCTAGTTCCAGTTATCT